AACTATCATCAAAATATCAACTTTTCATGAATTGAGAGTACTGATGTACTTAATTTCAATTAAGGCTATGTTTTGGACCATATTTAGCACAATTTATTTTTTATCTCGAAAACAGATAGAGATAGGTATAGGACATTATTAACAAAAAAGTATTAAAATACTAGAGCGATTCCAAAAATGTATTAATATACGGGGTGTTCCATTTAAAAAAATATAATTGCTAGGACTTTTTGATAGAAGTGGCAACGCCGCAATGCTGAAAATATTTTAGATCGATAGAACAGGTAAGGACATGTCGAGAGGTGAAATTTTCAGAAACGTTTTCCAGAAACGTCTAACCTACTCGACCGTGAGTCACGCTGTATATCAGGGAAAAAGTTGTAATGTGGAAGTGTAATTTAGTTTCGAATCCTTCGAAAAATAAAGCCAGAAAAAAATGAAAACCATTTCCCGATATTTCGGTTTTTTCCGGATATACCAGGAATTTCAGAACTTTCTCAACGGCATATTGTTAGTCAGGTAAATGCGCAACTTTTCCTCAATTTAACCATCTTCGTATCTCTCATAGTTTCCGAGATCCCAATGGTGAGGATCGAATTTGAAACACCCTGTACAGAGACAACAGAAATTCAAAACTCAGGGATAATTTCTATAGAAAAGAAGAGGCAATGAACAATAATAAAATCTGGCTACCTGTCCTTGAAGGTAAACAAACAAGGTCAGGTAATTCAATTAAGAGAAACCAGCCTCGCCAACTAATAATAATACGTATCAGGAGTCAAACACCAACATCTTAGTTAACTCGTTCGGAACGGAAATAACAACTCTAGCACCAACTCGGGCACTGCGACCGTTACCACATTGCCTTTGATGTCTACCGCAGTAGTAGACGAAATGTCAGACATGAAAAGCTGCGGACCACGGCCAAAAAAACCGGAAAATAGCTTCCAGAGAGTAATCTCCGACCGTGAAAGTTTACATTCTTTCGTTCGATTTGAATTTATTTTAATTTAATTTTGAATATTGATTGTACAGGCTGGGGGAACATCCGGACTACTGATGGATTTAACTGCCAATGATAAAGCTGTACACGCTGACTTCTTTAACGGTGAGTGGTAGATTTTTGTTGAGTAAACTTTTCTGAGATGGATAATATACAAGGAGGGTGTGAAAAGTTCCCGACCTCAACATGAAGATAACAGCACTCGTAAATAAAAGCTAGTGAATTTCGTTGTTCATCTGTTAACAGTTATTCACCAAAGTTTCAGCCATTTTGGACGCGCAGTTTTTATGTAATAGCCATTTGAGTGAGTTGATGCGAGTGTTTTTATGAAAATGGACAAAATCGAGTAGCGAGCTTCATGAATTATTTGTTTTTGAAACGCGAATCAAAGATAAGTTGTATTCTGTGTATAGGGACTCTACACCATTGTCTAGCGGTTGTCTAGCACCAAATGGTGCTGGACAACCGCCAAATCAAAGTGAGAGGTTATGAACATGTCGAAAGAACGTGTTTGTCACATAATAAATCAACATTCACGCATGAGAAAACTGTCCCCGCGGTGGGTGCCGCGTTTGCTCACGTTAGACGAAAAACGTATACGAATAAACATTTCGAACCCTCTGGCGCAGTTTAGGCGCGATAAATTCGAGTTTTGGCGCCGATTAATTACTGTAGATGAAACTTTGGTACACCATTATACGCCCGAAACACAAATACAGTCCAAACAGTCGACTGCAAAGGGGGAACCAGCTCCAGAAAAAAAAGGGAAAACTATTTTTTCGGCTGAGAAAGTGATGGCGACTATTTTTTGGAATAGTCACGGAGATATTTTAATCAGTTATCTTCAGAAAAGAAAAACAATTACAGAAGCATACTACGCATCACTACTTGACAAGCTGAAGGCAGAATTTGCGGAGAAAACGGCCACATTTGTAGAAAAAGAAGATTCTGTTTCACTGAGACAGAGCACCGTCTCACATCTCAACGGTTGCTATGGCGAAAATCCACGAATTAAGATTTGAACTGCTTGATCATCCGCTCTATTTACCGGATCTAGCCCCAAGCGACTTCTTTTTGTTTACTCAGAGATGGGAGCTTCGCTGGGAAATGTGTATACAGCTAAAAGGAGACTATGTTGAAAAAAAAATTGTGAGCCGTCGCGGGACGCCTAGCAGAAATATATTTTCGTACAGATATTATGCTTAAAAGAACAGATTACGAGAGAAACTGATATGGCACGGTTCCTGCGGTGTGGGGACGGTTCCTGCATCGTGCCTAAAAATGAAATTGTGCGCTTCTGCTCTGTGACGTATCTGGAAACCCAACGGTCAGGAATCCATGGCGGATGACTACAAGGTCTGTACGATCATTGAGTGTTATTCCACCCCCTCATCATTATTGATCCACCCTACAATAGGACCTTCGAAGATAAGCAGCAGGGAATAAAACGTTCATTCCTTCCTCTGTATACTCTAGCTCGACCATCATTACCAAAAAGAGTAAATTCCAATGGTCGTATTATTATATTTATTCTTGTACACGATCATTAGAAAATAGTGATCTTAGTGATTAAATGTCTTGAACAAATTCATTTTTAACATCGCAACTAACTTATATACGCCACTTAGCAACCAACGCCTAATTTATCTTTACTGTTTGTTAACCGTTCGATTCGCTTTCTGAATACAGGCTCCTTACTGGCTACCGCTCGGGACGAAAAGCGGCCTTTTTATATCGTCAACGAACGCTCCAGATATCTCTAGGGGTTTCGGAACTGGCGTAGACTATTCGCGGTGGCTTGTCGAGTGCATTTCTTTCGCGGTGAGTCAGGTCTGCCAGGACAAGGGGTTTCTCATGGCCGTTCCTTCCTGTTGTTCATAATTTTCTCTAATAATTTCCTGAGATATTGCAAGGTCTAACACCAAAAGAAACCAAAATCTCACCTTCTTGCAGAACTATGTTTTTTGTATGTTGTATGAACTCTAAAGAGTTTTTATTACTAAAACTTGGTTCCGCAATAGACAAGGTTTCAAATTCCTTAGTGAGCCACTTTGCTATTTGGTAGGTAGGAGTTCCAATAGCTGACACGATGGGGCGCATTTATTTTCCCGGTTTTGGATTTTTGGGAGGCAATATAGTTTCGACACCGTTGGGTTAGAAACTTGTAACTTCCGTTTCAGTTGAGGGGTATGTTGTCGCATTTCCGAAGTAAAAGACGTCCTCAAGAATCGTGTCAGCTATTGGAGCTCCTACCTACCAAATAGCAAAGTAGCTCACTAAGGAATTTGAAACCTTGTCTATTGCGGAACCAAGTTTTAGTAATAAAATCTCTTTTAGAGTTCATACAACATACAAAAAACATGGTTCTGCAAGAAGGTGAGATTTTGGTTTCTTTTGATGTTAGTTCCTCATTTCCTAGCGTCCCAATGCCACAGACCTTGCAATACCTCAGGGAATTACTAGAGAAAAATAATTTCAATAATAACGAAATCGATGAATTCGTTTCTCTTAATAATTTGTGTATGAAACAAAATCGGTTCCAGGTAGAAGGTTGCTTTTATGAACAACAGGAAGGAACGGCCATGGGAAATCCCTTGTCCCCCTACCTGGCAGACCTGTTCATGAGCAGATTCGAAATGGAAACCAAAGAAATGTCGAAGTATTTTCCTAAGATTTGGCTAAGGTATGTGAATGATATTTTCGCGATATTTGATACCAAAAAATCGAATATTGAGGACTTTGTTTCCATTTTAAATAATAGATGTCCATCAATAAAATTCACGTACGAGTTAGAAAATGGGGGACAACTACCATGACATGATATGTTCACAAAAGAAAGACCTACATTACAGGAAATAGCAGCCACTAACGACATAATAAGGAAGAAGTTTAGGTTAAGAATGAACAAAATCTCGACTTTCAGAAAGGACAAAAACCAAGATAAATACATCTCAGTTCCATACCACCAATATACGAAGAACTTTAGAAAGATTTTCAAGAAACTAGGTATGAAGGTGGTTTTTAAAACAAGTCATACATCACAGAGCCTTTTGGGAAGTCCAAAAGATTAAAGTCGAGAATTCGGAAAAGTCTGGAATTTACGAAATTTAAAATAATAGATAAGGCAAAATTGTAAAATAAATTTAGTGTGGTATACCTGTATGGGTGGTACACCTGTAGGGTTTACCTGTATAGCATAAATAGCGTTAGCTTCACGTTAGTTTCTAGTTTAATCTTCCTCTTTGAAGGTGGTCACTTGGTGATCGGAACCTGTGTCAAGGTGTTAAAAATAACTATTTGATGGTGGGAAAAAATTCCAGTAAAATCCAACATAGTACTAGTCTATCATATAACGAGGCGACGTGTCGCCACGGCATACGTCGCCATGCCAACAATCGGTTTTTCACGTGCGGCTACAGCTGCTTCACATAAAAAATCTTAGTTCCACTATCGCAAATTAACAAATGTGTCGTGTTTCAAGAAATTACTAGAAAGTTGAACATTTAACATAGTTCAAAAGGAAAATGAGTCAAACTGAAATACTTACTAATGCCATGTATTGATCACAGGAATCACAAATTTTTTGTGTTCAAAAACTCCCGTTAATCAACGGTTGAGATGACGATATGATATGTTATTTATTATTTTTTTTACAGATTTCATCGACCTTTATGATGATGACGATCTACAGTGATATCATTTCAGTATGTTATTGATTCACATCTCTGCTTACTTCAAATGGAGTTTTTTCTGAATTGTACTGATTTATATATTTAAATTAATCCAAGTTGTATTATTTACTGCCCTATTCCCGATATTAGCACTTCTAGGCAAGGCACTTTGATACATAATCGATACGTATGATTTTTTTCAACAATAGCTTTTACCTGTTCGTAGTCAACGCTTTCTATGAATAGAAATTATCCGTTAATTCCGTCGGCATAAAAATTGGTGCTTGGGGTTCGCATCTCAAAACTTTTCTGTTGTCGAATATTGATGAATTTTATTCCAGCTAATTGAATACTTTCATTCAATAATATATTTCAATTAATTTGTTATATTTTCAAAATTGTCACTTTCAAATGTGAAATGTCTACCTATATATGTAATTTGTGACGTGTTTTATATTACTTTTACTGTAATCTGCAAGTAAAACCAATGAATAAATTGAATTAATTGTTCGTTGGCTAAGTAAGTTATTGAACCTTTCTGGCTAATGAAAAAACATGTATCCTCCTTCTTGCAAAACTGGGATACATAGAGAGCCAGAAAACACTAAGTTTATAAAAAACGAGCGCAATATGCTGGTTGTGCCTTTTCTGAAAGATATTTTAGAATCCAGTGTTACGATCTTCGTTCAGGTTTGAGGGCCGTCGTAGTTTGGAACTGTATCCTAACATTTCCCCAGCACGAGTGGCTGGCTTCTTCAGAGGTTTATTCATCTTCATGGTTCACCGATGACATTGGTGTTATCATGCCATGCAGTGTTATCAATAGTTTCCGGTCACTAGAGACTTCCATACCTCTTACTTTGTTTTGTTTAGACGGAGGTACAAACAAAATAAACCAAAGACTATTTATTATTCCCAGTAATAACAAAATACAGTACAATTTTTCATTCGATTCTAAAAACTGTAGCTATTCATTAAAGCACAAATTCACCAAGTAATATAGATAAGAAAAATCACTCATTACTTTTCAACATTCAGAAAAATATTTTGAAAAAGCAACTTACAATTTATCGTAGGAATCTAATATAAGCTCACAGCCACTTGTTCCAAAATTCAAGGTTTTACTGGTTCATTCAAAATTTTCTAGTACCCTGCGTAACTACACATCGATTCTTCATCAATAATGGAAAAAAAGTATAGACAGATTAGAATTTTGAGACCAATAATGAAATAAAATTGGGTTTCCTTTATAAAAACTGTACACAAAAAAAATTAAAAGAAATACCAATATTGCAACATAATGATTCGACGGGTATTTTTAAGATTCCTCACAAAAAAAGTCATGGTAAAAACATGATACGAAGTTTCAACTATAATCGGTTTCAGCCCTGTCGATAATAACTACTACATCAATACTAATCACTATTATTAATAGCCATTACGTTCTAGAGCTTACTTACACTCAAAAAAAAAGCCAAAACTTTTCAAAAAAATTGTAGCTAACCGTTTCTACATTGAATGAAAGAAACAAATTTGTTCGCATCCTCCAGAATAATTGATGATGAGTTGAGGTCCTCATGTACCGTTTATTATGGATCCACTGGCTCTACATTAGCAAAAATTATACTTCAAAAATATATTTATTCAATATCAGTTTAAAGAAAACTCCGCAATATATAACTCTAGAACGTCGACTTTATATAAAATAAGCTAGTCCAAATAATCTACAATAATATGCGAGAGCAACCACCAGTAGCTCTCTATCGGGAAACTTCGTAAGCGAAGTTTCATCAGATCACATTGAGAGATAACCGCGTGCTTGGCATCGTCTTCTTCCAATGAGATAGGCAATCAGTACCATCACAACTAGAGCTGCTAGTACGCAACCTACTACAATTGGTACTACATCGGTTGTTAGAGACGTATCACAATCCACAGCTGTAAAAAGAAGGTGAATAGTTATTGAAATTGTATGCGCATATTTTTTGTTTTCTACATATTAGGTAATTATTTATACAGTGCATTTGTTTGTGGTAGTTTTTAGTAGAAAAAAAGACAGTAGAGGGGGTAAGAGAGAACTGGGACGATGATTTTAAGGGAATATTATCCACAAATCCAGTGGCGTAGTCAGATTTTTATTACAAAACGCTTGCACCACAAATCTCTCACATTACCATATTTTCAGGAGTTATAACTGTAGAACGCATTGAGCTGTTGACTTCGGATTTTCACTGTACAAATTCACTGGTGTTCTACTTGGTGATGACAGTGTTGTCAGATCTCAAATATGTAACCATAGAGTGCCTTGGAAATGAAACTAAAATTGTGAAAGTTAGTGTCAAGATACAGTTTTTCATGCTTAATATTTCAATAAAAAAAAATTGAGATTGATCAAAAAATACACATTCTACAGGGGTGGTTCCATTTTAAATGGGTCACACTGTATGAGAAAATAATGAAATGGGGTGAAAAAAATTATTCAGCACTAAATATCAGCAAAACAGCATTAGTCAAATTCTCAATGCAGAACACCACCAAAACTCTCAAAATATATGAAGATAGCCAACTAGAGGTGACACCAAACCAGAAACAAAAATGCTAGGTCTAATTCTAGATCTTAAGCTGAATTGGGGTCCTCATATAGATTCACTAGGTGATAAACTACGAAAGAACTGTTATGCACTGAGATTTATGTCAGAGGTGTTAAAAATAACGATTTGGTGTTGGGGAAAAAACTTCAATAATATTAAATCAAGAGAGGTGCTCCTAAATCTGTACTATGCAACTATTGGCTGTCAATTACGCTATGGAATTTTGAATTGGGGAATAACCTTCTCTGCTCAAAGAGTATTCATATTACAAAAGCACGCAGTCAGAATAATTGCTAGTTTAGGATGGCGACACTCATGTAGAAGCTCACTCAATGAGCTGGAAATACAATTGCTGGTCTGTATATATATGAGACGTGTCTCTACGTTCATCAGAATAAAGAAAAATTTAGCGCAAACCAGCAAGACCACCCACACGCAACTAGAACTAGAGGGTTGTTGATAGCAAATCCTCACCGAACCTCCCTCTATCAGAAGAGTCACCTATACCTTGGACCCAAACTGTATAACAAGCTAGATGTTTCTATTAAGGACTCAATGAACATCTGCATTTTCAAAAGACAATTGAAAAAATATCTTATCGAAATAAACTGCTATACCGTTGTGAGTTTTATTAGTTACTCTCGATAAAAAACCTCTTAATTACCTTCATATGTACAGTTTAGTACCTGTTGTTTTATATTTATATATATTTGTTTTTAGTTATACATGAACGTCTTCCTTGTTACGGTATGTAAATGTTTATTGTAATGCTTTCATACTGTTTAACAAGTGAAATAAATATTATTATTATTTTTTCACCGTAGTGTGCGCTGGTCAGGCCCTATCCCCCGAAGCCCCGATACATTCGGGATGGCGAGCCAGCATTATCAATGACCACTCCCCACACCGTGGGGTAAGTGATCAATGGGTCCGAGAATCATGTGCCCTGAGCAAGCGCAGTGAGCCAAGAATGACAGCCTTCTGCATCTGTGCGGCTAAGATTTCTGCCTTAGTGCGGCAAGCCGGTATGATTTTAAGATTCGAGAATAGAGGCGACATCATTCCACCAAGGACTCCAATAATCAGAACAATCCTCTTGACAGAGTCTACAGAGTTCGTAAAGAGAATTCTCAATATTTTATCCGTTTTTCCTCTTCTTTTCTGACGATATTCGTCTCGCCAGGAGCTGAAAACTCCAAATATCGTTTTGCTCTGGTGGTCGAAAAGGACCACATCAGGCTTATTAGCTTGTATGAGCCTGAGGGTGGGGAACGAATAGTTCCAATAAATTCGGCACTTCTCGTTCCCCACAACGGATTCAATATCCCCCGGAGCGTAGGGCAACACCGGTGTCTCGTCAATACCGTAAGAGTGCCGTAGATGGTAATATAGCACTCTTAGGGCCGCGTTATGTCGATGGATATAGGCCGAGACCGCATATGCTGGACATGCTGATAGCAAGTGCATTAGGGTCTCGGGCGCCTCGCGGCAGGCCCTGCACCTTGTGTCAGGAACCTCTATACCCATCACGCGACTGCGGTAGACTAAGGTGTTGAAGACACCATCCTGGCAAGCCATGATGAACCCCTCAGTTTCCGACTTCAGCCCACTCGACCTGAGAAAAGCGAACGTCAGGCGCTTTGATAAGCCAAGGTCTTCAATGTTATTGAAGAAGACCCCATGCATTGGCTTATCCCTGTGTCTCCGCAGAAGTAAGGTGATCTCTGCGGCTTTTATCTGAGCTTTTTGCTGAACGGGTTCCAACTCGGTGACAGAGTTGTAGTCACCTCGTTCAGAGTCGAAAACTATACCGAGTTCATCAGCTGCTCGAGCAGCTGCCCTAAGGAGAAATGCTCCAATTCCTGCTCTCTCATGGTCACGGACCATGCAGAGAAGGGGATCCGAACTCCTGACGACTTTACAGGCTGTATCCAGTACCATTCTGTCATGTAGACACTCCAAACTCAAAAGTCCACGACCTCCCTGTTGTCGGGGGAAGTACAACCGTGGAACGGACGATTTGGGATGCAAACTCCTATAGAGATGCATCATTTTTCGGGTCCTTACGTCGAGTTGATACAGCTCCTCCCGAGTCCACTTCACTACTCCAAACGAGTAGAGTAAGATTGGAACGGCAAGCATATTTGTTGCAGCAACTTTGTTCTTCCCCGACAGTTCCGATGACCAGATCTGTCGAAGTTTGTGCTGATACTTGCCGCGGAGAGAGTTTTTCACTGCAGTTACCTCTTGTGAGTGGCGTTGTTCCACCCCGAGGTAAGTATACGTCTCTCCGGCATCCAGATGGTGTAGGATGCTTCCATCTACGAGCTGCACATCCTCTCCGTAGTCCCCGCATCGTCCTCTTTTGAGATGAACCATTGCACATTTGTCTATCCCGAATTTCATACCGATAGCATGCGTGTACTCTTCCACCACCCTCAAGGACTGATGGAGATCCTTCTCTCCAGAGGCATAAAGTTTAAGATCATCCATATAAAACAGATGGGTCACCTTGTGCCTCCGGTTTCCGGGGGTGCCACAGTTATACCCTCGAGTGTTTCTGAGCGCAACGGATAATGGCAATAGTGAGATGCAGAAGATTATTATTATTATTATTATAACATTTTCAAACAAAGTAACGTCAATATCTCTACAAATGTTAATTATTCTCTGCCGTATATCCAATATTGAAGCAGGTTCAGTTTCGTACACCTTTTGCTTCAAATAGCTCCATAAAAAAAGTCCAAAGGTGTCAAATCTGGCGAGCGGGCTGACCATTCTGAAGAACATCGACGGCCAATCCAACGACCGGGAAAAGTAGAATCCAAATAGTTTCTTACTTGTCTGGAGTAATGTGGTGGTGCTCCATCTTGTTGGAATACAATATGCATATCGAATTCATTAGGATTTGCTTCGACGATTTCAGTGATGAGAGGGTCAACAGTAGTTTCCAGCACATTCAAATACAGTTTCTCTGTCAAATTTTGATCAAAAACGTTAATTTTTTCTGGATATTGGGTATGTGTTTCCCGGAAAACGTGAGTGTTAATGTCACTCCAATAACGATAATTTTGTCTGTGAACATTGCCGTTTAAAAAATGAACATTCGTCACTAAAACAAACATTGTAGAGATAGGTAGGATGCCTTGCAATGGTTTCCGTCATGATTTCGCAGAATTCTGTTCTTCGATCAGGGTCATCTTCAGTTAATTGGTGTACCATTTTAATTTTTTATGGATGATACCTATTCCTCTTTAAAAGTCTCCACACAGTAGAAGAAGACACCTCACAAACATTTGCGACGGAATAAGTAGACTGTTCAGGATTTACTACCATCTCACCAATTACTTAATAATAATAATGAAAAACATCTTATTTCTGAAGAATAATCGCAAAAAGATACAAAAGCAGAAATAATGTCACCAATAAGATGGATTATGTCAGACAGTATGGCTTAGGTATTCAGCAATAGGGTAGGGTTCTATATTCAGTAGAATCTTATTAATTCCTTTTTTGAATTCACCAAGTTTATTCATTTGTTTGATGTTGCTGGTGGGGAGTTTGTTGAACATTTTCATGCTTTGATAGAAAGGGCTCCTTTCTGTAGCAGTCTATGTTTTGGGCATACATAGTCAAAATTTCTGTTATATACAGTTTGTGGTAGACTATTTTCAAAAAGATGTTTGTTTCTAAAAAGGAATAAGAGTTCCTCTATATAGACTCCTATAAGTGTAAGTATTTTAAGGCTACTGAATTTGCCTCTACATGATTATCTTGAGTTTAGTTTTAGCATAGTTCTTAAGGCTCTTTTTTGTACAATAAAAATTTGCTCTGCATTTCCACTACCTCCATAAAAAATAATCCTATACCTACAAACAGATTCAAAATTTGAATGATAGACCATTTGGATTACATTTATCAACATACTGACTAATAAGTATCATTGAATACAATACTGAGTTCAACTTTTGACAAACATTTTGAATATGACTGTTGAAACTCACTTGCTGTTCTTCCGGAATGGACGGATGACCTAGGCGATTTTTGTTATGTAGGTACACTACCAGTAGTTGTGAATTTGGATACAAGTTCCCTAAAATATTTTCTACAGATAGGACGATTCGGAAAACGTTCATTGAACGGTCTCGTGAAAGTAACGCGTCGCACCGTAAATAAAAATCGTTTCAATTTTTTCTTCCAATGGACGAGAATTGCCCATTTTAGAGATTGTTGACGTGGTACCTTTCTATCAGTAAAATCTAGAACTAATTGAGAATATTCTAACTGAAAAATGATGTTCATTGTCGTACTGACATTTTTTGTCGTTTTTATCAACAAAAAATTACTTAACAAACCTTATCGGGTTGTTGGAATTGTCATATGACAGATAAAAACGAATATTTGTAGAAATATCGATATTAATGCGTTTGTCTTCAGAAAACTATTAAATGTTCCGCCATTTTGTTGTAGGTGACAGATGGCACCCAGTCGCCATCTTGAAAGTTCCATCTGTCAATTAAACTTCAAAATAAAGTATTTATGCAATTATTTCACTATCCAAAATTTCAATTTTTTGAGTTGATCCATTCAAAAAATGAAAGGGGGGGGACATTGAAGAAAAGCACTGTATATTCTTTGCTAGCTTGAGAGTGGACTTGTATATCTTTCGGTATTTTTTTAAATTGTTCCAAATAAAATGATCATTCATGAATTTCCTGTTATAGTGCAGAGAGCAAACGTTTTTAATCATTTTGTCACCCATGGCTTTTTACTTTTCATTTTAATTTTTTGTTTGGGAAAAGGCTTATCAAAAACTTCCAGTAACATATAGTGAAATGACAAAAATGTACTATCCCAGTCAACCCGGAGACAAAACTCGTTTAGTATATAAGTAATATGTGTTGTGGAAGAAAAGTTTTTGCCTTTTACTTCCCCATGACTTACCTGTTGCAAATACATGTCCAGTAGTATTAGAAAAGGCTTCGAACTGAACTTGAGACAAGTGTATGTAAGCAACTGTTTCATTTGAATTCTCCTCAGTGAGATTCAATGTTTGAACTCTGGAACATTTGTAAGAATTACCTAGAGGAGTTGAAAATTCGTTCTGCTTGTGTATCAGCTGGTAGGTTTTAGGATCTACAAATATAATAAAATAATTTTTTTTATATATAAATTGCAACAATAACAGGTTTGACAGAGTCTAAAGAAAGCAGTTTTCTCACACCAGAACAGAAACACTGTCTCTTGATTGGCGTTTCACTAACCAACAAACCATTAACCATCTGGAGATTAAAATGACATTAGATTTTACAGAATCTTAGAAGTACCGGCCTGACCCAAAGATGGCGGTAGTTGTTTGACAAATGTCACTGTACACAATCTATAAAGCATATGTTTCGAATTTGAAGACGCTGCTTTGTTTAGTATTTGTTTGGCAGCCATCAATAGCGAACGTTTCACTGAATTTGTTAAAATGCAATAACTCAAGTTTATCAATGAAAGTATCCTTATTACCGGTAGAGACTCCATAAATACAAATTATGTAGAGATTTAGCTTTTTACAATAAATTGTACAATTTTCAAAGTCTTTTTCCATTGCCATGTTTTCTGGATTTTTAAACTGCACAAAACTAAAACTGTGGTCTTCCATCAGAGAGTTGTGGGCTAAAATAAGAAGATAGACATTGGAAGAGGATCATGGACCAATCTTTGCCAAGATTAAAAGCACATGCTTAAAGATCCGTGAAGACATGGAGAATACCCACAACAGAAAATGGAGGAAGTTAGTGAGGAAACAATGCCCAAATGAAGACCGAAAACAGGACAACTATGAAGCCGCCAACGTCACCAACAGGAGTTCCCGCCAGCTCACGGGAATAGAGGAATCCTTGTTGAGGAAAGGCCTTAATGTTGCCATTGCGCCAACATTTGTGCCCACTTTGGAGATAATTACTACAGTGAAATCCATCAGTTTCCTTATTGACCGGACCGAGGCAGAAGAACTCAGATGGAAAATCAGAGAACAGCTAGATAGAGAACCAGTTCCAACAGCACCTGAGTTGGTTAACGTATTGCAGCAGACGCACCAAGTAACCATTGGTCGTGATACTGTCAGAAATCGACTGCATGAAGCAGATCTCCACAACAGAAGGCCATTTAGATGTCCACCTTTGTCGAGAGGCAATCGCGGTAGAAGATTAGAGTGGTGTCAAGAACATCAAAACTGGGATGCAAATGATTGGGCCACAGTTTTATTTACAGACGAATCCAGATTTGGATTTCATCCAGATTCTCGTCGAGTAAGGCTGTGGAGACGACCTGGAAATAATGAACGTTTGAGACACGTCCAGGAAGTCCACACATACAGAGGTGGTACAGTAATGCTATGGGGCGGAATCATGATCGGCGGCAGAACCGATCTCGTTTTTCCAAATCGCTCCCTCACAGCTCGACAGTACCTCGAAACCATTCTTCTACCTATCGTCCGTCCGTTTGCTGGTGCTGTTGGTGAAAACTTCCACCTAATGCACGATAATGCTCGTCCACATGTCGCGCGTCTAGTGACCGACTGGCTCACCAACGAAGGAGTTGATGTATTGCCATGGCCAGCACAATCACCGGACCTGAATCCCATCGAGCATGTGTGGGACATGCTTCAACGAAGAATTCCTTCGCATATGGGGAACATTCACACAACGTTTCAATTGAGAGAGTTTTTAATCGCTGATGGTAGAACAGACTTTGGCCAAAAGACAGCAGGAGCCTCGCAAGGAAGAGAAGCCGTCACAACCAGTGCTTGCACTTCCCCACATCAGAGGATTATCGGAAAGGATCAGAAGAATTGGTTCCAAGTACAACATCAGAACCTGCTTTAGATCCGGAAACACTATCCGTAGCGTAGAGATACGCAACATATGGAAAACCATCGTCAAGCGAAAAATGGCCAACTCCCGCCAAACGGTCATCTCCCACTGAACCGGTGAAGCGGAAAAAGGAAAGAGGAGAAAGTGTATTTTATTTCACTATCATTTCATTTCAGGTTTTTAATTTAATATATTTGTTATTTTCAGCTATTCATTTTTAATTATTCTTTAACTCAGCTAACTCAGGAGATCATAACGATCTCCTGAGTATGCTAACTTGGTTACCGAAACGAGCGTCTAGACCGTAATTTTTCGTTCTGGTGTTGGTAAAGTGTTTACAATAGATTCATTTTACGCCAGAGGTTCCGGTTCGAACTATCGCCAAATCTTTTACCAAAATCTCACAAGTACATCGCTGAAGTTATTAGTTAATTTTGCAATAGAAGGTTCTTAAGCAGCATTCATTTTCAGAATTGAAATTGACTCACCTTGACCAGGAATCGTCAAATTGATAAATTTGACAGAAATAACATCCAATATGAATTTACTGGTATTAGATTTCACGAACTCAAACTCCAAAACATTTTTGTCCCCATTCCAATTCAGCGACACACTGTTCTTCTCGTTTTCACAAGTTCCATTAGCAGTTGCATTTTTCGGTAAATTCAACTTAGTAGCAGTTTGATTTACTTTTAAAATTTCAAACTGTACAGCCATGTCAATCACGATGCAACTCCTATTAGAGTCCTTATATTGTACTGACCAGTCTCCACTAACGGGATCTGGTACAGGAGCTGGAGTAGGAGAAGGCGTCGGCTTTGAAGTAGAAGTAGTAGTCGGGGTAGTAGTAGAAGTAGTAGTCGGGGTAGTAGTAGAAGTAGTAGTCGGGGGAGTAGTAGAAGTAGTAGTCGGGGGAGTAGTAGAAGTAGTAGTCGGGGGAGTAGTAGAAGTAGTAGTCGAGGGAGTAGTAGAAGTAGTAGTCGGGGTAGTAGTGGAAGTAGTAGTCGGGGGAGTAGTAGAAGTAGTTGTTGTTGGTTTTATAGTAGGTTGTGGTTGTGGTTGAATTTTTGGATTGGATGAAACGGCAAATTCTAATGTTGGGGTTATTGGCGTAGCTGCTCCATCCTGACTATGTGCTGCTTCCGTATCTGAAAAAAGTTTCAATAAATGAATTACAGTAATCAACGTACTTTCATATACATAAACACATAACCTAATTCTAAATTCAGGTGGTAGTCGATTGTCAACGTGAACTACTCATTTATTAATTTCGAATATACCGTAATGAACAATTATGTTTTTGAGCAATTAACAATGGCATGATTTCCTAAGGCACCATTAAAAGGTATCTTCGAAAAAAAAAATCAGTGACGGCTCGTGTACTGGAGAACAGGGGAGGCTAAAATCATAAAGATTATATACACACAGAAAAGCCCGCGGGTGGCGCGAAAATTTTTTTGGGTACCGCACCTATTTAAAGCAAAATACGTAATATTTGCATAAATGCAAACAAAAATTGTGTATTGCCGAAAATTATACGTATAAAACTGACCATTAAAAGAACAAAAACAAGGAAAAAGGGTTGTCTTTGAGTTATTTAATATAAATGAACTCTTCTCAGTCAATAAATAATACTTTTCTCTTCTAATATAACAGTTTTGTTAAAAATTGCTGCAAATATTTTATAAGCGCAAGTACTTATTTATGCTTATAAAAACAGGTCTAAAAGTAAATTTTATTGTCCAGCAAGAACCAAGGGGAAGGTGAGAGTGGTCAGTCAAGTTCAATATAGTCTGCGAGGGTCCCGCATTTTTAAAGGTGAATTGAAAGGTGTATTTTGTAATTTTGGATAGGAAGGAAAAAAATTTAAAAAACTAAAAGTAAACATAACATTCGTTCTTAACCAAGACGATATAGCTGTTACTATATTTTGTTTGCTAAACAATTTTAATTTACAAGACGAAAATATATGCCTCTTACATTTAAAATGTCTCTCTGTAGAACGAGGTAATTTTTTCAAATCGGAGTATCCTATTTTAGACCATGTTTGGTATTCGGTTTGTACGGAAAATAAAACACAGGGCCAACAAAAAAGTTTTTCCCGTTTAATGGAGCCGGTTAACCAATCGCATTTATTGTACCAACTAATATTAAATCCTCGATTTTGTCGATTATCTGACGCTTTAATTGATATCAAATTCGGTTGAGGCCTTCCCAGTGTTTTAATAATGTAAAATTTATTATCATAAGGTAAAAACTTAAAGTTATTTGTCAGCAACCAATCGACCATATCATCAGATTTTTTAATTTCGTCCAACTTATCCATAATAAATGGAAAAAAAAACTTACAGAAAAGTGAAAACCTGAAAACACCTTGAAATTGAAAGAAAACACCTTAAAAACACATTGAAAATATTACCAAAAAGCACTGCTATAATACAATACTGCCTGTTTTATACACAAATAACAAATATTATCAAGAAACACTAAAACGATTTACCGAAATATTTTTCAGTCCCGGTCCGTCACGGCATCCCGTCCGTATAATTAAATAAAAAACAAACGCAGTCGTACACTAACGGAGACCAACTGGAGGCTAGCCTCCTCTAACGCTATAATTTCTGCAACTAAAATTACAAATCGGGAGGTATGTCGCTGGTTGGCTCGGTCTCGCGTAGCTTGTGTTTTTTTAAAACGGTCGGAGGCTTGGCTCCCTTGCAACGTATGGCATTTATTATTTCGGGTTGATGGTTTATTCATTATTCGTTCATGGGTGGTTTATTGATGCAGGTTACAGTATCGTACGTACTACGTAGTGAGTGATAGTGTTTTTTCGGGCATATTATGTATTTATATTAAAAATTAATGGTAAAGTAATGATACCCAAGCATTTTTAGAAAAAAATAATCATAATTATTTGTCAATATCTTTTAATTTATTGCGATGAATAGCCTCAAATTTTATGGGGAGGCTAAGCCTCCCTTGCCTCCTCTGACGAGCTGCCGCTGATGAAAATCTATTAAAACATGTTTAAACACACTTTAATGTGAAATTTCCACTTGAAAGTTTAGAAAACCGCGACACGTGTTAACTGAAATTTTCATGGACAACCTAGAGAAAACAATCTATACCAATCAACTTATTAATCATTTTTCATTCTGGTACAGATATATAGATGACATCTCAGTCTGTTTAACTGGTAAATACAGTAATGATAAAAAAAATGTTTAAACAAGCTTTTATTTAAGTGCCCTAAAAAGATCAAAATAATTTTAAACCATATTAACCACATTCATTTATGACTTTACAGAATTGAACTCATAATAAAAGCTTGTCGCTATGCCTAGAAGAAATCTCTACATATTTAGTCAGAATATTGATTCTTACAACCTACTACACCATTTATTGTCTTCTTTTTAGAGTATTTAAAGGTAAAAGCATAATTTGATTTTTTTTTCTAGAAATATAATTTTTTTATTGAAGCCAACCCTGGATGTGGCATCTATTTCATGGTGGGCCTACCAACTGCCTATCATAAACGAATGCGTATACAAAATTTGGTGTCCCTGCTATATACCGCTGTGGAGATCTCTCGTACGGAGCCGATCCTGGCGGCAGCATCAGGTCACGTTTTTGAATAACATGCATTGTCATCTGTTCTGGACCAGCATGCAAAATTTTAGGTCAATCGGATACTGGGAAGTGGGTCAAATTAAACTTGCAAGATTTGTTAACATACATACAAGTCAAGTTAGATAAAAGCTTTTAATTAATAATAAAAAAGGAACTGATTTTCATAAAACACAACAGTTACGAGTTGGATATTACTGACTCAATTACTTAAAAATTGCAGAAACGAGCTCTGAACCAGGTTTATCCAGTTTCAAATAATTTTTCTGAACATGATGTAACTTTAACTACTTTGGTGGACCCACCTAGTGGTGGTCGCTCGTTTTCTAAAAAGCAAAATAAAATAAATTAATAAATTATTCCATATCGTTTTAAAATAATTATTAAAATTATCAGCAATCACATATGGATCCGTAACACAATCGTTACTAACTTTGATTTCTAAATTTTGTTCAACTTCATTTTTATTTGCAAGTTCAGAGACCACGTTCTAAGTAGTTTGACATACATTTTCACTATTATTTATTTTATTTTGATAATAGTTCTTCTTTGTTTGTTTAATCAATACTTTATGTCTTTTCTTAACTTCAAGATATATCAATTTCCGTTCAGGATTAACTGAACTCAGATAATGCATGTTTTTGAGCCGTGAGCTACAGTTTTTAACTTCTTGATTAACCCATTTTTTTTGTAACTTTACTGATATTAGAGAAAAATTAGAATTGAAATGATAAATATAAGTCAAAAGTTATATTCAGATCACTTTGTATATATAGTTCATTCCAGTTCTCATTGCTTAGACTATTTTTGAAATTGTTTATATTTTCTTCAAAAAAACCCTTTTATATTTAGATAATTTCAAGTTACATTCATTTGTTATATTCATTTCATAAAATATAGTTCGATGATCTGAAACATTATCGGCAAGAACACAAACAATAACATTATCACTGAAGTTGATAGATGATCCAAAGTTGAAACAGTGTTGGTACTGATCTTACTTTTTTTTATTAAAAATATAACAACAGCGTACAGTTCAACATAGTTAAGACACTATAAATGACCCATCCAATGCTAGAGAAAACCACTCATGATGTCCATTTTTGTCAGACAGTTGAGATGATATATTTTTTGCGATGTCTTGCACCCTCCGAGCCACGGTGTTTGCTGACAAACTGACACTTTTAAATAAATTTACCTTTTTGGGGCATATTTCTTTGGCTACTGCAATCAAGCATTCTTTTATCATTTCTCCATCGGTGAATGGTTTGCCACGTTTTCCGATTTCAAGAGCCACACGAAAGCTGGCGCGAGTTGCAGACTCTTGTCCAGTATTCGCTTTGGAAAACAAAGATTGCTGCGATTTGAGTCCGCGTTTCGAAGCTTCAAATTTTTCCTTCCGCAAACTTCCTGTATACTTGGAGTAACTTTGAAGATGTTTCGATTCATAGTGTCGTTTAATGTTATAGTCTTTGAGAACAGCTTTGGTTTCATTACAAATTAAACATAGCGCCTTATTACTGGACTCAATCACAAAATACTGAAAGTTCCATTTTTCTTGGAACGTTCTGCATTCACTGTCGATTTTTCGCTTCTTTTCCATACTAACAAATCACACATAAAAACAATAAGTCAAATCAAAATACTTTTATTGACGGGTGTTACTTTATTTCACAATAGACAGTTTCGCTTCCTTCGCCTTTCCTACGCAGACTAACTCGCAGTTGCGCCGCTAGCCTTTTTATATGCAATTATTACTGCCATCTCGAGGTGATCGGAATACACTAGCTAGAACCAGAACTTTCTCGAACCAACGCGGTAATTCCAAATATTTAATTACGCCTAATGTCACCTAGCGGGTAGCTGAAAAAGATAGTACATAGTACCACTACTCGCCACTAGATGTCGTTAAGTGGCACAATACACAATAATAATTGAAATGCAAAAAAAGCGTAAGTTTGTTTAGGTCACGCACTTTGCGACTATCCTAGTCTAGAAATATAGTTAAGGGCAGAAATTGGCCCTTGGAACAAACTGAAAAAATCATTATGGCCCTAAGGCTTCAAAGTTTGGAGACCCCTGTTTTAAACTATTAATGAATGAACTATAGCCCGGCAACTCACGTATATGGACAGGTTATTCATTGAAGACTTTTATAGCCTGTGTAAAAGGATTGTATAATCCTTTGTTCGTTCTTACCATGCTCAGGTGTAAGTCATTTCTACCCTTTGTATTATACTCATAAAACTGGTTGTTGACCATTTCATCTTCGAAACTAAATTGAAGAAACAAGAAAGCAGGTCAGAAGTTATCAAAATATGCATCTTCCCTATAAGAATTAAAATTGAATGATTCAAGCTTGACCAAAAAGTTTTCTGTAGCCTTTCCCACATCATACAACTAATATCATATAAAGGAAAAATTTGATTTTTTGTTGATTGTAATGGATACACTATTTGAACGATTTCTCTATAAAATAATTAATTGGAGTGTGCTGTAAAAACTATTGATGATACATAAAATAATATACATGTTTATAGACATTATTATTATCCACAAAATACTCCGCCAGACTGTATGTCTATCATAGTCAAGTTACAATAACCACTTCATGTTCAAATAAGTCAATCAAAACACGGGTAGAATCGAAATTCTGATGACATTCCTATCATTTTATTAATCCTCATTAAAATAAATAGAGGTTAAGAAGTTACAACATGCATAAAAAGATGTGGTCGTGATAAAATTACAACTCTAAACTGCACCCATGCAAAGCCGGGACGGACCGCTACCGTACGGATAAAACGACTTCACTACTATTCGGTTTACATTTGATATCGCAAGTTGATCGTCGATTCTAAGAATCCAAAGTTGTTGCTGTTTTCTGCAATTCGATTAATCTCAGAAATAACCACAATGTGAATCATTTTTATCTATTACATTCAAAGTATAAGAAACAAAATGTTTAGGGTCATATTATATTTTTATCTACTATCTACATGTTGATGTTAATGAGAAAATATTGTCAAATTATGCCAGTCTATATCCACTAATGTTGAAAACAGCTTCTCCTTTGAATAATAAAAGAAAAATGCATGCAATGCTTTATTATACTAATAAAGCAATAATTTTCCACTCAACCATTACCAGCATAAATAATAATAGACAAAAGGTCAAGTAATTATGTTTTTATGTATTTAGTAAATGTTATGTTGTAAATGCATGATTTATTTCATAATGAAGAAAAGATATATGAAATTTTTATGTTTAATGTATATGTAACATTAGTTACATCAGTTACAAATAAAAGTGGTAAAAAACATAGAGTTTCATTTCTCTTTTCTTACTTATAATATCCAATAAAAAAGACAGTTTATATTAAGTGATGTGGTTCATACTAAACAAAAATTCAAGTGGAATAGTACAGTACTCATCAGTACGTACTGTGGGTTCTTCAATTACTTCTCTGAGTACTTTCATAAACAGGTGGTTCATACAAAAAAAAACCTGAAGTAGAACACTCAGTACTGTGGGTTCTTCAAGTACTTCTATAAGTACTTTTATAAAACAGGTGGTTCATACCAAAATAATCTCGAGGTAGAATACTCAGTAGGTACTGTTGGTTCTTCGAGTACTTCTCTAAGTACTTTCATAAAGTAGGTGATTCATACCAAAAAAAATTCAAGTAGAATACTCAGTACTGTGGGTTCTTCAAGTAATTCTCTAAGTACTTTCATAAAACAGGTGGTTCATACCAAAAAAAATTTGGAGTAGAATACTCAGTACTGTGGGTTTTTCAAGTACTTCTATAAGTACTTTCATTAAACAGGTGGTTCATACCAAAATAATCTCGAGGTAGAATACTCAGTACTGTTGATTCTTCAAGTAATTCTCTAAGTACTTTCATAAAACAGGTGGTTTATACCAAAAAAAAAATTGAAGTGGAAAATTCTGTACTGTGGGTTCGTCAAGTACTTGTCTAAGTAATTTTATGAAACAGGTGGTTCATATCAAAAAAATCTCGAGGTAGAATACTAAGTACTGTTGGTTCTTCCAGTAATTCTCTAAGTACTTTCATAAAATAGGTGGTTCATACAGAAAAATATCGAGGTAGAATACTCAGTACTGTTGGTTCTTCAAGTACTTCTCTAAGTACTTTAATAAAGTAGGTGGTTCATACAAAAAAAAAATTCAAGTAGAATACTCAGTACTGTGGGTTCTTCAAGTACTTGTCTAAGTAATTTCATAAAACAGGTGGTTCATACAAAAAAAAACTTGAAGTAAAATACCCAGTACTGTGGTTTTTTCGAGTACTTTCATAAAACAGGTTCATACAAAAAAAAAACTCGAGGTAGAATACTCAGTACTGTTAGTTCTTCAAGTATTTCTCTAAGTACTTTCATTAACTAGGTGATTCATACCAAAAAAATCTCGAGGTAGAATTCTCAATACTGTGGGTTCTTCAAGTAATTCTCTAAGTACTCTCATAAAGCAGGTGGTTCATAACAAAAAAAAAAGTTGAAGTAGTACACTCGGTACTGTGGGCTCTTAAAGTACTTCTTTAAGTACTTTCATAAAAGAGGTGGTTCATACAAAAAAAAATCTCGAGGTAGAATACCCAGTACTGAGTTTTTCAAGTACTTCTTTAGGTACTTTCATAAAGCAAGTACTGGTACTTGAATTACTGTATGTATTTTGATGTGTAAGTACTGAAAATTCTATAAGTACATGGAAAAGGTTGCAAGTTTGAAAATCCACAGTAATTTTTAATAATTGCTCAGAAAGCTTGCTAATTATTATTATGAAACTCAGTATGTTGACTAGTAGTAGATGAACCAAAATACTCCTATACAATTAGTTTCGTAATGAGACGATCACAGAAATGATTCATAATGAAAACTCAATGTTTTGTGTGAAAGTTTCAGAATCAGAACTACAATCAACAATAAACCAGCTGATAAAAAATCAAGTGGTCTAGATCAAACTACGCCCCGCGATCACAATGTGTCTGGTTATAATTTCCATTTTTACTACCTGGCTACAATTAAATTCGCTCCCGACGAGTAGAGTAGATGATCAGAAAGCCCATAGATGATCAAATGTCTTAAGTTACAAATGTCTAATGAGGTTCCTAAAATATTATTTATATGGTATTCAAGAAACACGTTGTTGTGAGATTTCCACCAAACACTTTTATAAAAACGAAATACGTATTTTGCTATACAACAGCTTCTTCACCCATATATTTCAACAGAAATCTATTTCTTGAACATTCTGAACGATTGAGTTTCAAATTTATCTCTTCTAAATGTAACATGTCATAGTGTTGAATGAACTTATATCCTTTTACCAAAACATGGTTTGGTATTGGTGGAATTGTGGCATGATGGAATTGATCTTTCCATCCAAGAAACTACTTCTATGCTCATTAATTCTTTGGGAAAAAGTTTCCCCGTTTGGCCAATATAAAGTTTTGGGTAAGAGCCACAGTTTAACTGATTTATCCGACACTGAAGTATTGTCTTTGTTTTTTATAAATTTCACTGAATTGTTATGTTCTGTAATCCATGTCCAAACATTCCTTTTTTGATAATTGAGCGATATTGTTAGTGGGTTCAGCGGACGCTATTGTTTCTTGAAAATGGATACAGCTGGTCCATGGCTCGTTTTCATAGTTTTTTGGAAAGAATGGAGTCGATAATATCTAGCTCGTAACAGTTGTTGAAGCGATTTGTTTGATGAAACTAAGCTCCCTCCTAGTATAGACACGCCTAAAGAAGCTAATATATAGGAGAACACATGTTACGTTTTTGTACATCTATTTAGTGAAAATTTCACAAGTGTTTCTTGAATATGTAATGGATTTTTATCAAGTATCGTCCGATTTTATCATATATTTACATGGGTTGGACTATCAATAATTTGTTTCCAATCATGTTCGAATCTTAAGTAAATGAATTGTAGAAATCATCTAATTGAAGAAAATCAGAGGCATTCGAATTCAAAAGTGAAATGTAAATATCTTTTAAAAAGAGCATTTGCTGATAGTAGTGTTCTAAAGAAAATATAACACATCTAGTCCTAAAACAGTTTTGCTAGAAGAGTGTTGGTACAATTCCCTCACAGGTAACCCTAAGAAGTGATATGTAAGCGAAGGGAAGACATACATGAACAATTTTTCTGTTGTAATCAGTGAAAGATGAAACCAAGGTGATTCATTCATAACCTTGTTTCATCATTCAATTCTAAAAATGTACATATCATACACTTCAATTACTTAACATTGCTTCAGATTGAACCTGCTGCGTTTTCCAGTGAATCACAAGGGAAAAAGATAGTGAAGGAAAAATTTGAGATTGGAGCTGTCAAACTGGAAAATACATTTCATTAAAACTTGTGTTTGACCACACCAACTCGAATTACTAGAATTGAGAGTCAAATATGAAATATATGTCTAATATCTGGCTTGCATATTTGTCTTTGAGAAGGGGGTGTCATTCGGGATATCCCGGACATGTTCTTCCATTAATTATATAAAGTGACTTCACGTTTTTGAAAAGAGAATTAGAATACTGATCATTTCTATTACCTAGATCATAATACTATTATTACTCACTTTCATAGGTAACAGCCAAAAATGTCAAGAATATAATGAAAAATTGAAATCTCATAGTCATATTGTTAAACTAATTAATCATCTAACAATGAACTTTACTACTCTGTGATTGAACACTTCTTTCTTTATTTTAATCTTGGAAAAACAACACAAATACAAAGCTATGTTGCCAATTTGTCAAGAACGCCGATCAAAATTATGACAATCTATTGAAAATGCGTTTTTATGAAAACTAATACGATTTTCTATTCAAACTTGCTTTAAAATCCGACAAATAGAAAAAAAGATTATTTCAGTCATCAGTGAATCAAACGGTAGGTCAAAAAGATATTAGTAATCGAGGCGAAATTGCCTTAAGCCCTATGTTGACTAATCCATGACGTCACTAGTTGCGTCAAATTTAACAACAACCGGCGTCAACTATCGATCCATAGAACACACATTTATTTTAATGTGCTGTGTCACAGCTTGGACCATAAAACAGTGGCGGTTGGTTTAGCTGATAATCGAAGGGATATTATATATTTATAAAATAAATCATTTCAGGTGAAAATGTATTTTGTTCAAATAGTTCCTACAGGAAATCTGATTTATTATTAATGATAATGAAAATAGGATCAGTTTTTCTACTATCTACTAGATTTTTATTTATGTATGGCTTTATAATTAAGCGCATGATTTACTGGGTTAAAATTACATTTTTTCAAATGAACTAATTCATAACAATGATAAATGTTAATTTCAAAAGTAATGAACTTTGCTTCATAAAATCGGATGAAGAAATTATTCTCAGATTTGATAAACAAGCGGTACGGTTTGTGAGGTCCGATATAAAGAATTTTCGATTAGAAGCGATGAATATTTAATATTTATAATTACGATTGAGGTTTGATGTTATGTGATTTGTGGACCGAGATTATGAAAGGAGATATGTTTTTGATCTCATTCTTATAAATAAAGTTTTTGAAACTAGGTTTATATTATTTGATTACTTGACATTTCCCAACCAAAAAAAAGGTTAGAAAAATGATAACCGTCATTTCTTATTGAATATTGTCTATATGCAACTCGTGCAAAGAAAGAAAAACCAAAACGAAAATCATATTCTTTGTGTGACGTAAGTTAGTTGTTGAGTGAGTATTAACAGATTTAACACCGGTTACACATTATTTAGTATTCAAACTGAACATTGAGCAGAAACCTTTTTAGTCTGTTGATCACAGAATGAATGTGACCTAGAGCACACATATGAAAAACATATTTTTCATGTTTGAATACAGTTTTTTTCATTTACATTATTGATTTTTCGTAATTATAGAATTCGTCAGCATGAATTATTGAAAATAAAACCAATGTCGGTCCACAAAGACACCTGGATACCAATTATGAATGAAATCACATAATAATATCAAACCGTACCGCTTTTTCATCAAATCTAAGAATGAATCACAAATTTCTTCATCTGATTTCTTCAGTTATAATAGATGCCGCCATCGATAATGTTTCATACACTGCTTCACACTATCTCGATAATCTGAGAATGTGGTGCTGTGACATTTTCCTCAGATAGGCTCAAAATGGATGATAGCATCTCACAGCATCTGTATCTTTCATACCTGAGAGTACTCTCCAGGTAGAATGAAGGGGTTCAGGTATTGGAAGCAAACTATTTTGCGCTGTAATATGTTTTACCTAAAACTGGGGTGTTCCATCGCGAGTGGCGGACAGTGTATATCACTTTGGCCAACTCCATTCAGGTGGTAGGTGCATTTTGAGCATTTCCATCAGTCCTGAGAGCTTCATCGTTCCACCTCGAATATTACGGAAGATACGGGGGTGTTTCCATAAGAAGTGAGACAATTCGGATTTTTCAGGACTGAAATTTTTTCAGGAAAAAAGTGTATTCGTAGTAAGTTGGTAGTCCTGATAACGAATCTGAAGAAATTTTGAGCCTATTTTGCCCCCTAATATGTTTTACCGTAAAAATGGGGTGTTCCATCGCGAGTGGCGGACAGTGTATATCACTTTGGCCAACCCCATTCAGGTGGTAGGTGCATTTTGAGCATTTCCATCAGTCTTGAGAGTTTCATCGTTCCAACTCGAATATTACGGAAGATACGGTGGTGTTTCCATGAGAAGTGAGACACACTGTATAAGCACATACTTCTACTTAGATGCCAAGCACCAAAACTTGTGGAGAAATTCAAAGATAGGTCCTTTGTTGCAAGACCATTCTAAAAGCTAGTTATAATAGTAGGAGAGGGTTGATTAAAAGAGTGTTTTGATCAAAAATATTTTATTTTCATACTTAACATCTCCAAAATAAATTTGAATTTTTAGAGATAGTTATGTTCATCCATACCACTTTAACATTATAAGTAACAATTATTTCAGATTTTAGTGTATCAAAATAGTGAAGACATTCAGGCATTTTCAAAAATTAAAAATAAATTGCACAAGTACTTTAGAAATTCTAGAGATGTTAGAGTTGTTAGGTAGCAAGGTATCTAAAAGCCTAAAATTAGATATAAATTTACAAGAATTTAATTTAAAAAATGCCGCCAGAAAAATAACGAGTACACAATTTTTGGCACGTCCTTTGTATCATTAATAACGGGAATTTGATTGATAGAATTGGGATCTTCTGGCAAAAAATCAATCTATAGAAAACACTTTACTTTCACCAGAACTAGAATACTATTTTTCGATGCGCGTTTCGTCAACCCAATTAGCATCATCAAGAGGTGACTAATTCTGAGAGCCTTAAGGTCTTAAGCATCTCCTGATGATGCCAACATGGTTAGTGAAACGACTTTGATACATTATTTTTATTCTGACAAGAAAAAAATGTTGTCAATAGAATAACGTGATTATTGGAATGAATTATCACAAATAGCCAAATATGATCAGAGCTATATTTGCTAATTATAAATAAGCCACATTTACTGATGTAATGAAATGTTGAAGGTTATTTTGATTAAAAAAAACGTTGCATCACCAACTATTAGTGTGCCTGAGTGACAAGGCAAATATCTCGTTTAAAAGTGGATAACCTACAGCAATGATACGTCATTTTTAAACATCACGTATGCAATTACATTATGAAAGGTACTTTTCTGATACTAGGACATGCCAAAAAAAGTTCACCATTTGTTCTTAATATTGAATGAAGGATAAATAGATGCATAAACGAAGCATTTTTATGCCAGTGGTTTTTCCTCGGGAATAGTTGGGCTACTAACAGAAGAACCAGATCGGGAACGGGCTACCTCATCCAGACTTTGTTGAGAACCGGATCTCGATACAACTTTAGTCTGAAAATGATGAAGGATTTTCAATTAATACATATAAAAATCGTCAATTATAGATGGGTGCCTATTAGCATGTCTTGAGTAATGTGCAAGCGCATCTCATTGCAATATTGGAAAGGGCACAATAAATCAGTTTATGCTGTCATTTCCATTGAAGTGTTTCTATCGTAACAGAGGGGACCCCCCTAAAAGCTGCCAATTGGCTAAGAAATGGGATTGGTGAAGTTTCAGCTCAATTGGATAAGGTTAATCCAGTCCGAAACTGTTTGAAAATATTTGAGTCGGGCCAGTAGTTGTGCCCGTTGTTTCAATCAAAAACTGATTTGAGAATGTGGTGGTGAAATGCCAAATAAAGAAGATTTTTACACGCTTTATATTAGTTTCGCCTTGTCACTCTCAAGGTCTTGACCTGTATTTGACAGAATTATTGTTTGATCTAGTCGCGGGCAGATGGCGCTCTACGTAACTCCTTGATATACCTTCATTATTGCTTGATCTATTCGCGGGCAGATGGCGCTGTGTGTAACCTCCTTGATATAATTCGAACTCACTCTACATGTAGCTGATTTTCAGGCTCCCTCTCCGGAATCGGAAAATGTCAATGGTCATTTTTCTAAGCAATATACGGCTGATTGATCCCAAAGTTTAGATAAAATAAATATAGTTTGAAAAGACTAAAAAACACGCTTTTATAGCATACGAAATTAAAAAATGTATGTATAAGTAACGTTAGTTACAAATAAAAGTGGTAAAANAAAGTGCAACAAATATACTCCTATTGCAACAATGATTGACGCGTTGAACTGGTTGACAATAAAAGACAGATTATACTATTTTTCAATGATTTTCATCTTTAAAATACTTACTGGTCAAATAGCACCTTACTTCAATGAATTTATCAGTTTCAACCATCAAATTCATAACTATCCTACAAGAGGTAGCAGTGACCTGTGGGTTTCAAGAACTAGTCTCTCAAGAACAATGAACTCGTTATTTCATAAGGGATTATTGAATTATAATAAACTTCCTATCAACATTAAAAAAAGCAATTCACTCCAACAATTTAAACACTCCCTTATGGAATATATACGATCACAGAATTATTAGATTAAGATCTGCATCTATTGTTTTCTTTTCATTGTCCATTTTCCCACTAGTACATTTTCTTATTTTCGCATGTTATATCTAATACTATATCTAACATCTAATAATATTATATATTTCGTCTAAAATTTTATTTAATATTCACAATCATATTACCATTTGTATATTAGGATGTCTATTTTGAATAAAGATTATTATTATATACCAGATAGGTACCCACTCACTTGTAATTCATAAAAACATTTATTATATATTGTTTAATAATGTATAATGTTCAAAGGGAACAAAGAATTGATCAAAAGCCATTTTCCACTTATTTTCTAAAAACAGTGACTTTGAGGATTTGGAACATGTCCGGTCTTGGAAAATAATAGATCTAAATCTGTTTAAAATCTGTTTTTCCGTTAACTAGCTGTCGCACCCCTATGAACGACAACTCTCAGAAGTTGAGAAACTTGTTCGAGGTCTTACCTTTCAACGTGTGATTCCTAACACGGTTGCAGAATCATCCCAGCTTCAACCAGATAAATTCTCTCGAGAAAAATATCTGGTCGAGGCAGGAATTGGACAAAAAAGTGGTTAGAGTAAAACTTGAAGATAACAACATTTCTTGTGAAATGAAATGAGAACCAAATTTATAGGACAGATAGTTTTCATTTTGTGAGGAAAAAAACGGCAATTTTCAGCAAAAAATGTTTTTTTTTAAATTGAGCTAAAACTTTCCAAATCTCATTTTCTAGACAAATAGCAAATATTAGGGGAGTCCCGCCCGGCATGGCGACGAAAATATTTTTTCACCCTATACGTTGTGATCACCCTAGTGATCATCAAAAATTGAATTTAATTCATTAATGAGTAACACCCAATTAATTTCAACAGGTTTCACAATAAATCATATTAATGCAGACATAATTACATTGAAATTACTTGCTAAAAGTAAAACTATTTTATCTAAAAAACACGCTTTTAAAGAACATCGAACTGAAAAGTTAAAAATATTTTTTTTAAATAAGCTTAAAACAATAACGAACGTAAAATAATAGTATTATTGTGAAAAAACGATGGGCGCTTGATATAAACAAAAATATGGCTCAAAAAGCCCACTGTTTTTTCATAATTATACTAGTATTTTTCGTTCGTTATCGTTTCAAGCTTATTTAAAAAAAATATTTTTAACTTTTCAGTTCGACGTTCTTTAAAAGCGTGTTTTTTACTTTTTTAAAATACATTTATTTTTCATTTTTTAGTTGCATACGCTTTAGGCGTTTTTCAGTATTTTTAAACTATATTTATTTTATCTAAACTTTGGGATCAATCAGCCGTATTATGTTTAGAAAAATGACCATTAATATTTTCCGATTCCGGAGAGGGAGCCTGAAAATCAGCAACCAAACCCAAGGCAGCAGGCGCGCAAAGGAGGGTTACAAATAAGGCAGCAGGAGCGCGTGTTAATAAAAAAAAGACTTTTTTTCAAATGGAGAAATACATGTAAAGTAAGTTCGAAACATATCAAGGAGGTTACATACAGCTCCATCTGCCCGCGAATAGATCAAGCAATAATGTGGATATATCAAGGAGGGTACGTACAGCGCCATCTGCCCGCGAATAGATCAAGCAATAATGTCGATAATTCTGTCAAATAAAGATCCCGAGCTTGAGAATTACAAACAAACAAACATACATACATACATACAGGTGAAGCTAATAAAAGTGCTTGATAATGATAAAAAAAACTGAGAAAATAAATTTACTGATATGCGAGAATTGAAATGAAAATTCAATGTTTCATTGTGTCAAGTGAATTCACAACAACAAAAATAATAATATTTATTTGCCATTCAATTTGAAATACCCAAATAATCTTAGTTAACGACAAATACATATAGTTTCCACAGAAGGATAAACCTGTACGATCAAATGAATGATGAGGATATGAAGATACAAGAATTGACGAAGTTAATGTTTATTTTCATTTATAATTAATTTCTGAAAGAACACAATGCGACCTCAAATTTATTTTTGATTAGTGAGAAGAAGTCTAGATCGACTCTATTACCACCAACAGCAACTCTAGACAATGGCGAGTGTTTGCCATAGTTACAACGATGAAAATCTATAGCAAATGTTTCTGTATTCCTTGTACTTCTAGAAGGAACAAGTAAAGCTTATAAATCATATCACTAATTCACTAATCCAAGGAAATGATAATAATAATGACCTTTATCACCCAGCTAATACCACGTTGGATATTGAATTATACTCGACAGACATTTATGCAAGATATCTCACAGAGATCAGTGTCACAGTTGTTTCTCGTTCGTCCAGCAGCAGGACCATACTGAAATTAATCGATTAGATCACCTACAGGCCTGTTTCGAGGTATTACCTCTCATCAGTGCAGAAAAGATCCGACCCAAACAGTAAAGTGCCTGTGACTTCGGTTATTTCAAACCGGCTCGACTGCATGTAGGAAAACTTCGTCTAAGAGAAAGATTGTTAACCAGTAACAGCTCCATCTCGTGCACAAAGCTCCAACCACAACCTACGGTGTATAGTAGGTAGTTGGGAGAGATTAATATTTTGAGATTTTATGTCTCCTCGATATAGTTTTCAGACACAGTTTGATCTCAATTTAGATGTATTTTAGGTTATAACAATTTTACATTATTTGTTTGATCTGAATGTAATATTGGTAAATAAATCTATTTGGTCATATTTGATTATTTTACTCATAGTCCCAGCTAGAAGTTCAACATATTCTAAAACTGACATGGGTTCAGTTACCATTAGTAACTCACCCCTATGTCTGCGTAATTCAAACCTTCGACATTCTTTATAAACTTCCTGTATAACAAATTTTCTTCAATTTCACTTACCTTAACATTTTCATAAGCGGATCCTACTTTCTCCTCAATTGATCTGAATGATTCAGAATGTCGCATTTGTCCAATTTTATTGGTAATATTTCCTGTTATTCCGCCAATTAGAGAAGTAGTTTTCTGATATCTGAAAAATAAAATTAATACAGATCATTTAAAAATTAATTTGTGTTGGCAAACTCTTCAACTTCTGCGGAAGTGAATGGTACAAGTACAAACCAAAAGTATTTGCTGATTTTTTGAATAACTCCAGGTGCCTGAAGGGTGCCTGAAACTTCCCTTTTTTCTTAGTATCGTGAGTATGCTTGTTACAGTTCCTTTCGAAGGTATTTTGATTACAATGTACATATGCCAACAGTTCAAGAATTAATATGCCACCGACTGTTTATATTTTATGTTCTTTAACAATGTTTCGACATGATTGGCCCACGAGACATCTTAGGATAAGGTTCCAACATTTGTTGACTGAGCTCGTAATTTTTGTTTGTGATGAGTGTTTTTATTTTCAATTAGGAAGTGGAGTCATCTGCGTATAACGTGGTAAAAATATCTGATAAAATCAAGTCATTTATATATAAGATTGAACAGTACAGGTCCCAATACGGATCCTCGTGGAACTATTCTAGTGATTTAGAAGTTATGAAAAAATCGTGTGACCCAAGCTACTTGTGCTTTGATATTAAAAAAAAAACAAACCTACTCACCTTCAGCTGTAATATTAACAATATATACTTGAATGGACAAATTCTTGAGAATAAAAACCAATCCAAATTCCTGGGAATCTTCATGAATAAGAAATAAAAATTTGATCAACAAATTTCAGCTTTGAATAAAAAATTGGCATCAGGATGTTACTCACTTCGAATAGTTTCAAATGAGTTCATCCACAACAAAAATGGTAAATCATTCCCTGATTGAGTCCCACCTGAGATATGGTGTTGTGTTCTGGGAATTTTGCAGTCAACAACTTTTTCATTCAGTGTTTGTTTTGCAAAAGCGAGCGGTTAGATACTTACGGAAGGTGGGAGTGCGTCAGTCATGTAGACCAGGGGTCTCCAAACTTTGAAGCCTTCGGGCCATAATGATTTTTTCAGTTTGTTCCAAGGGCCTATTTTTGCCATTAACTATATTTCTAGACTAGGATAGTCGCAAAGTGCGTGACCTTAGCAAACTTACGCTTTTTTTGGATTTCAATTATTATTGTGTATTGTGATACTCAACGACATCTAGTGGCGAGTAGTG